TAGCACAAAGAGAACAGATTCAATGTAGTTCCAATACACAATTCTAAAAACACGATGCTTCCATCCTCCGTCTACCTCTGTCATCCTCCCTTCTCGACTCCCTCCCTCTGCCCCTCCCTGTCTAGTTCCTTCTCCTCTTCCCTATCCTTCTTTCCTGCTTGCTTTGTGTATGCTTGCTCCTCGGTTTTGGAGATAACATTTTTAATTTACATTATACTCAATGGCCTAATACTCTAGTAAATAAAGTGTTCAACAAGTAACAATATCATAATTGGGCAGGAGTACAGACATTAGTTATGAGCAATAATCACATGAAAAGATGACTATTTCGATGATATATAGTACATTTTCAAAGATTTATTTACTTATTGGAATGAGTTACAGAGAAAGAGGGAAAAACAAAGATCCTCCATCCACTGGTATGCTCCTCAAATGGCTCGTTGCAGCAGCCAGGGCTGATCAGGCGAATCCAGGAGCCAGACACCCCACGCAGGTTTCCCACTTGGGTTCAGGGACCCAAACACTTAGGCTTTCTCCTCCACTTTCCTGTTAAATGCATCCGCATAGATCTGGATTATAAGTGGAGCAGCAGACCAAAGCCAGCACACTATGGGATGCTGGTACTGCAGCTGGCAGCTAAACGAACTCGGCCACAGCTCTTACTCCAATGTGTATAATAAATTTAAAATAGCCACAGATCATTAAACTATAGAACTATATCACTTTTTTAAAGATTTCTTTATTTTTATTGGAAAGTCAGATTATCAGAGAAGAGGAGAGACAGAGAGAAAGATCTTCCATCAGCTGGTTCACTCCCCAAGTGGCCACAATGGCCAGTGCTGTGCTGATGTGAAACCAGGAGCCAGGAGTTTGTTCCAGGTCTCCCATATGGATGCAGACTCCAAAGGTTTTAAGCCACAAGCAGGGATCTGGAAGGGAAGTGGAGCAGCCAGGACATGACCCGGCGCCCAGGTGGAATCCCAAAACTTGCAAGATGAGAATTTTAGCTATTAGGCTACTGCTCCGGGCCCAATATATCATTCTTAACAATTGACTTGGCAAAAGTACAAAACAAAATTTGATGTCACTGTAATGGAAAATATAGATTTAGGCATTTTTTGTTGTTCTTAATTTCTTGTTTATTTTTTAATTTTAGCTCTCATATACAAAGGAGAACATTTATAATATTTGTTTTCCTGCATGTGACTTATTTCATTCAACATGAAGTTGCATCAGTATTGATGTAGAAAGTATATTTTCATTCTCTTCATAGCTGAATATTTCATGCATATAGTCACATATCACATTTTCTTTATCCTTTCATCTAAGGATGAATATGCCAGTTGATTCCATATTTTTCCTTTTGTGGACAGTGCTGCCATACACACAGTGGTGCAGTTATCTCTGATACAATCTTTGGGGCATTAACCCAGTAATGGGATTGATAGATCATGTGAAAAAGAAATCTCTATAACATTTTTCATGGCAGCTGCAATAACTGACACTCCCACAAACAGTGTGCAAGAGTCCCCCTTTCTCCACATTCTGGCTGTAACAGCATTTCCGGTCAGGGATGATTGTGGATAATTGTGGTTTGGGTTTGCATGTCCTTGATGGCTAGTCATGTCTAATATTTTGTTGTTAGTTGTCTATTTGTATTTCTTCCTTTAAGAATTGTCTATTGCAGTTCTTTGCCAAATTCTTTTTTTTTTTATTACATTGCATTATGTGACACAGTTTTATAGGTCCTGGGATTCCCACAACCCCTTCCCAAACCCTCCCCCCGTGGTAGATTCCTCCACCTTGTTGCTGTATTACATTTCAAATTCAGTCAAGATTCTTTCTTTGCAAACATATACCAAGCATAGATTCCAGCATCTTATTGTCGAGATTAACAGTTTCTTGGGGAGACCATCTCTGGTCTGAAGGCAGAGCTGGCAGAATATCATCCCGATCAATTAAAAGCCCCAACATAACATCAACAACAATTTACAACATTATGGAATTAATTGACACGGTATTGAGTAACCAATATGTTTTTTAAAATGCAAGTTCTTAAATACATCCTGTGACTACTTCATTGACATTTCAATTTTAGTTTATATACAGAACCGGCTGCTATACACCTTAAAATGGCTACAGGGTATTATTCAGCCTCCAGAGTGACCCTGATGGTCACTGCAAGAGAGGGTGGGGATCCAAAGTTGGAACTAAGTAAGGACCAGAAAAAACTCCGCTCCTGAGTCCCGAAGGAAGTTTACTGTTCTTCTGTTTCTGCGGACCACTCAGAGCGCCTGGCTGTTGTTCGATGAGCTTGGATCCTGCGAGGAAGGATTTGGATTTCTCCCATCCCATGTGGTAGGTCCAAACGGGGTGAGTGACCTCAGAGTTCTTGGTTTCCAAAGGCACTCCAATTCCCCGTGGTCTCCTTTCTTCGCCAAATTCTTAACTGGAATGGTTAGGCTTATTTTGGTGGTTGCCCTTTTTTGAGTTGCTGATAAATTCTGGATATTAATGCTTTGTCAGATAGGTAGCTTGAAAACAACTTTCCCTGTTCTGTTGATGTTTCTTCCTGTACTGATTCGTCCCTTTGCTGTTCAGAAGCTTCTGACTTTCATGTATTCCCATTTGTCTACTTTTACTTTTGCTTACTGTGCTTTCGCGATTTTATCCAAAAAATCATCACCTATGACAATATCTTGAAGTATTTACCTCGGATTTTCTTCCAGGTACTTCATGGTCTCAGGTCTTACATTTAGGTCTAGAGTTATCGTATTATGATGAGAGGTAGGATATATGTTCTTACATAAATAAATAGATTGATTCATTCATTCTGTTTTGGCAGAATCATTTATTGAAGAGAGTATCCTTTCTCTAACTAGTGATCTGCGATTTTTTTAAAGTCATTTGCATAAGTATATAAATTAATTTCTAAATTATCCATTCTTTCCATTGATCAATGGCATAATCTTATGCCAGCACCATGGTGCTTTAATTAATAGATCTTTATATTATGTATACAAGTTAGGTAATATGATGCCTCTAGTTTGAATTTTTTCCTTCACTTTGATAATTTAGACTCAGCTCCATACAATGTCTAAGATTTCTTTCATAATTCTGTAAGTGATGTCGCTGGCACTTTGATAATGACTGCACGGAAACTATAAATTGCTTTAGGTGGTTTAGACATTTGCAACAACACTAATTCTTCCAATCCACGAGGACGGAATATCGTGTGTGTGTGTGTGTGTCTGAGGGTTTATCAGTATTTTGTAACTTTTTAATTATCATCGTACAAATATTACACCTTTTTAATTAAATTTTCCCTAAATATTTTATTTTTATGAATGTTACTAAGTTCTTTACTTCTGTTTTAAGATACTCATTTTTTTTTTTGTAACATGAACTTTACTACTATATGATTTACCAGTTCTAACAGCTTTCCAGTGTAGTTTCAATTTTTCCATGTGCAACATCATGTCATCTGCAAACATGGATATTTTGACTGTGTCCTTTCCAATGCTGAGGTCTTCCCCAACATTTGTGCCCTCTGTTTCCTTCTAGCAATACATATAGTTATTAAACCGACTAATAGTGCAGAAAGCAGACATTTTTGTCTTGTTCTACAATGGAGGAGAAATAGCTTCAGTTTTCCCCAATCAGAAAATAGTGGCTGTTGGTTTGGAATATACAGCCTTTATTATTCGAGGGAGCCACAGTGTGGAGGCTTTCTTCATAAAGGGATGTTGAATCATATCAATTGCTTTCTCTGCATGTACTGAAGACCACACAGTTCTTGTTCTGCACTCTTTGGATGTGATTTATGACTTTTATTGATTTATGAATGCTGTTCCACCCTTACAAAGATAAGAGAAATCCCACTTGATTGTGATATAAATCTTTCTTCTGCAGATTTGTATTCTGTTTTTTAAATACTTTGTTGAGAATACTTGTTCCTATATATATATATAACATGTAGTTTCATATGTGTGTGTGGTGTATCTTTGTTGGATTTTGGCATGAAAAAAAGCTCATTGGATTTCTAATACAAAAAACGTATGCAAAGACAGTTTGTCCTATACAGAATACTAAGGCTTAAATCAACAAGACCTATGTAATTAGCTTGCAACAAGTTCACTCTCTGAGGAAGAATTATTGAGAATTTTAGGAAGAACTGTGTGAAGATAGTTTTTGTTCACTCCGGAACATATATTTGAGAAAAAGATAGTCCTCAGGGAACAAGTCACCATTCTCTGGAACAGTAGCATAATAGCAATCCAGAAATGAGTTACTTCCGTCATTCCCTTGAGTACTGATTTGTGGAAACAGCATCTGGGCTTTCTACAGTATATTATAGAAAGCCAACTCCAATTCAGAAGCATATGCTAATAGCGCAATTAAAAGGAAAACAAAATCAGCAATATGGACAGAGAGAAATTCATTTCTATTCCATAGATGGCAAAACTAGCAACTAGACTAACCTTAAAAATCAGTATTTCCAAAATTTAGAATGACCAACATAAATATTTCTGTAACTTGAAATTTTGGGTAGATTTTAGAAAATAAATATTTAGTTCTATATTTGGATTGGCCACCTCATACTAATGGATGACATTTCTTGGAGGAAAAATATTGTATGAATCAGAACGACTTATAACCCATATGAATCCTTATTTAGTCAGTAGTTCTCAAGTCATTGACATATTATTCATTATCAGTGAAAAGTACTAACAGGGAACGCAGCACCAGGTATTTTGTCAATTATTATTAATAGATGTCCATACAGTGGAGAAGTCCAATCATGTTCGCATTTGTTTGTGGCTTGTCCTATTATTAGCTCACAATTTCAGCTCTGATCACAGCATGAAATACTACTAGCACTAGAAAAATAGGTGGAGTGACAAACTTTGTATGTCTGATGGGGCTTTTGAAAGAGATAGATACTGGGAGTTGGTCTTACTATTATCTGATGACCCACTATCTAGTTATGTTCATCTTACCTGTTCAGTTTTCTCACACAACTCAGCTGGGAGCAGAAGATGTTTTCAGACATCCTTCCATACTCATGCAAAACATGTCAAGCCAAGAGGTTGAGGATAACTTTCAAACTCAGAATTTCCTGGCATGTATGTCTGTAAAAAATAATAATAATAACAATTTTTACAAATAATAACTGTTGTGCAGAAGAGAGAAAAACACCACATTTCAAGTGCATATTTCAAAGTTTTGGCCCAATAATAACATCAGAGAAAAAGAAAAACTAATCTGGGAGATAAGGACTTTCTGGGTGCTGTCAACAATAGCACTGAGGAACACAGAGAGGGAAGAAGCAGCACTGCTCATTCCAAGGCAGAGCAGATGGAATGACAAAGACTTTTTATAAGAAGAGGACAATAATTTTTCCTTTAGCTTCTCTTGCCTCTGCTCTTCAAAGCTCTGTTACTTATACAGCTCATTAAACCTTTCTTTGGCTTAAACACATTTTTCAGTTCTTGAGTTTATTTTAAAACAATTGTTACAAGGAAATTTTCAGGTTCTAAGCAAAAAAAGAAGTGCTAATTTCCACGTAAAATGGGGATTCTACAGTGTTGTTCTTCCTTGAAGTATTCCATACCCTGTGTGTCAATGTTGCAAAAAGCTCCTTTCCTTCTGTGGCTCCTTGAAAACAAAATGCAGCTTACGTTGAATTTGATTAACTCATTTTACCTCCTGTGTGAATATTTTCAATAATTCAAACCAAAGTGAAAACGAAAAGGAGACTTGAAGGAAGAACTTCAACTAAATAAGACAATATTCATGTAAACACCCAGATAATGCAACATGCCTTTAAAATCCCAAATTCCAATTGTAATTAAACAGAAAAAATGAAAGGCAGAGTAAATATCATTCTTGATACATGAAGCCTACAAGGCACGCCAACCTTCAGCTGTCCTTTGAACATCTATGATTATAATGCCTCAAGAAAATATTTTTAATGCAATTGTTGCCAGTCTAGAGTAACAATTTGGCTGTCAAGAAAAGGATAAATGCATTCCATCTGAGGATCAGGTTACAGCTCACAGACTCCACTGAGAAGAGAAAAGTGCCAGGAAATTATTGAGGAGTCAACCTGCATTTTCAAAGTCCATAAATAATGCAGGAAGAGAGTATATTTGGAGAAGGGATTTATCGGCCATAGCTTCATCCATATGCAGTGGTGGAAATGTCATTCTGACTATTTTGCTAGTGGGGCATTTGTATTCTCCTGAATGATTTACATACTGATGAGGCTGGAAGCACCCAGAACCACTCCAAAGCATTACTTTCCCAACACCATGCAGCCTACACCTATGTTCTTGAAAAATAGTTAATAAATCAGAGCTGAAGGGGCTTGAATAAAGAGCATATCAATTCTGTCTACAAAGGATGAAACTGGGCTTTCAACTTGTATTATTTGTGTCAGATCAGAAATAACCAAAATGCTGTGACTTACTACTTCAGTGAATGCAATGGGCCTGCATCTACAAGAAGATTCAGTACGGGCTGGTAGAAAAATAAGTGAAAATTTATCACTGGAGAAGTATATCCTCACAGAGTACCCTTCTGTTGAATTACCAAGGTGCACAATCAAAGTGCACAAAAAAAAAAAAACCTCATGTTTTGCAAAAATGAAACTCCATTTTAACAACATCCATTCAAAAGTCTCTCCAAAACTGTTGAAATTTACTCACATTAGTCATGTTTTCCTTTTTCTTTTCTTTTTTTTTTTTTGCCATGAGATAGATGCTAAATGCGGTAGCAAGGAAAATTTCTCTTCCATACTTAAAATAATTGAGTCAATCCTATTATCTCACTGATTTAGTCAATAAACATGAGTGAGCAATAAGTATAAAGCCCAATGCTATCGTTGGTGGACAACGAAAATGACAGAGACATGCAGTCACTCTTCAAGTCACTTACAATCAATGATGGAAAAGAGGCAAACTAACACAAATTAGAATGGAATAAATACAGTCGAAAAAGTACAAGTCAAGACCTCAGGAGCTCAGAAAAGAGAAACTGTTCATTGGCCTTTCAATTTTTTAATTAACAAAAGGATTTTATTTATCATGTGCTCAGTTGGTTTTTACACTGAACATACCTCTTGTCTACTATCATAAAGATGCAGCAGATAGGTTCCATGCATTAAGTCCGTGGCTTTTTCATCATAAGCTAATTAAAACTACTGATCGCACTCCAATTATCAACATGCAAGGTTCTTTTTGGCACTAAATACAATCATCCGTGCTACTAACTATAAGACTTTGACCTTGCTACAGGCAATTAGTTACGAATAAAGTCCAATCCCAGGAGGAAGAGGCTAAAATGACTGAAGGTATGCAGACACAAGGGATAGAACACTATTTTGCTGACCCGGCACGTTCATGTAGTGGTTAAAGTTCTCACCTTGAACGTGCCGGGATCCCGTATGGAGGCCGGTCGGTATCCCAGCAGCCTCACTTCCCAGCCAACTCCCTGCTTGTGGCCTGGGACAGAAGTTAAGGATGACCCAAAGACTTGAGACCCTGAACCCGTGTGGGAGACCCCGATGAGCTCCGGGCTTCGGAATGGCTCAGCTCCAGCCATTGCAGCCACTTGGGGAGTGAACCATCGGACAGAAGATCTTCCTCTCTTTACTCCTCTCCTCTCCGTTTATCCGCCTTTCCAATAAAAAATAAATAAATCTTAAAAAAAAAAAGAAAATTCTGCAAAGTTTAGCTGTAATCACAAACCAAAAGGAGGTAGAGGGGGGAATCCCTATACCTACAAAATAGTATCATGGAAAATAATAGAAATAATTTTTAAAATAAAAGGAAAAAGGGAGGAGCCCTCTTATATTCATAGGAAGAGGGAGTTTTGAAAATCCAGATATACACATTTCCAAAGGAAACTAAAATGGCCTGAAAGGTTTGCTGAGTCCAGTATCTGTGCACAGTGTGTTTCTAAACATTTTAAATATCTTCAACCATGACATAATCATCTCTGCTCACTCTAGTTAGCAAATTTGTCTGAAACATGCTGGTGGAACAATAAATGACAGTAGTGATTTTAATTGGAGAAGCTCAGTAATTTGAAACTTAAGTGACAGACTTTTATATAGGCCATGAGAGGTCAACACTGTGGAACATTCCAAGAATTTTAGCTTAATCCTGTTATTACCTCAAATTATTGCTTCTCTCCTAAACTGATGAAATGCTGCCTTAAGCTGTTACCCTGAGCTTCCCTCGCACAGTACTAATTTCCAAACCTAAATTCCAGAATGCTCCAAAATCTGAGACCATGTGATGCCACTCTATGAAACTGCTCCAGGCACAAAATTTTTAAAAGTATTTTATAAATTTGCCTGTAGCTATATATGCATATGTGTATGTATATATATATATGAATGCAACAGAAGAATTTCATTTTCAGATTGGATGTTTGTTAAAAAGCACATTACTGAACTCCTCTCAGAAATACATTATATAAGCATCTACATATTCAAGTTAGGAGTTCCTTCAATGAATCATTAATACAGTAAAGCTTAGTCATCATTGTTCTCCAGAGATGTGGAGAATTTTAATATTTTTTGGCAAAAAAAAAGAAAATCACTAAATCACTTTTTATTTAAGTGGGATCAGAAAAGTCAATGCCATTTTTGCATCACTTTGGACTATTTGAACTATAACTACCTTGAAAGAACACTAACTTTCCCAATTCCTTCAGAGCTAAATCAATTCTAGTTGACCATCCAGTGATGTGAATTTACGCCTTTTTGGGTGGTAAGTTGTGTTTTTCTTAATAACTACATAAAAATGTTTCTAGGAGAACCTAGAACAAACATTCATTAAGAAATTGTAGGATATATATGTTTTCACAACTCAGGAAACAATGATATAGTCTTAAAACTAAGTAGCAAATCTTCAGATATAGTTCTTCCATATCAGGATGTTCCTATCTATTTTAGTTTCTTTGTATTTGCATGTGCATTTTAAAATGAGCTAACACTCTGCACAGTGGAGTGAGTAATGGCCCTCAAAGACACTTAGAGCCTAACTTTTGCAGCCTGGGAATGTTACTTTTATGGAAAGAGGACATTGTGGATGTGATTAAATTAGGAATGCTGACAGAGGATGTTATTATGGATTATTCAAATGAGCCTTAAGCATAATCACAAGTGTCCTGATAAAGTCAGTCATGGTGAGATTGATCACCGAAGAGCAAAAAGCTATGTCACGATTGGATTGAACAATACAACCACAAGCCAAGAATTCTGGGAGCTATTAAGACAAGAAAGGGAAATTTCCCTCAGCTTCTCCAGGAAGAAATGAATCTGCCGGCAGCTGGATTTTTAGTACCATTAGATTAATTTTAGATCTCTGACGTCCAGAACTCTGAATTATGTAACTGTAAGGCCATTAAAATGTACCTAAATTTGCTACAGCAATAGGAAATTGACACAATTGTTTAAAAGCTTTTTAAATTTTTTAAACTTGATTGATTTTTTTAAATTTTTTAATTTTCTATTTTTTTAAAGCTTAGTGGTGTGGTGTTTTGATTAAGACTGTTAAAGTTATAGACTGAGTGAGAGATAATTTGTGATGACTAATATGTTACAAACTTCCAATCCATGAAAATGGTATAGCACTCTAAGTTATCTTTAGCTTTTCTGGGCAACGTTTCATAGTTCTAAAGGTACTGATCATGTCTATTTTTATTCACTCAATGCCTAACAATTCACTGTCTGGATACTAGTATAAATAAAATTTCACTGTCTCATTTTCCAATCTTTCTATTTTGCCAATATACAAATACAATTGACTTCTTACATTGAGTTTGTATCCTGAAATTCCAATCACTTTGAATAAAGCTCAAAGGAAAATTTAAAAAATGAGTGCTAAAATATTGCAAGCAATATACCACCTATATAGAAAATCACAAATATCTCCAGTTCCCTGAAAATTGTACATTTATCTGTTTGCCCGACATCAACCCATCTGAAATCTTTTATGTCCGATTCTAAGGAAGGTCTCTTGAAACAGAAGATGAACAACATGTCAGCAACTCTGAAAAGGGGAACACTGAGAATGCCTAAGCCTGCTGTGGCAGTCCCCGTTCAGGAAAGCTTGGGTGA